GCCTTTGTGCACAGCCAGCTTTGTACTCTTCTAGGTTCAAAAAACTGTCGTCCATAAAATGCGTTGCACAAATTCGAACATCTGGGTTGTGCTGTTCTGTTGTAAATAAATCTTAACCAATGATTCCTAATTGCATCTACTTCTGGAAGGCCAAATAAAGTGCTTTTGCTTTCGTTTAGAAACACACAGCGTCTCCCTGACATGGCTGCTTCAACACTAACTGCGGTTACTGAAACCACGCGTTCTTTCTTTGCGTGAACATTTGGGTGGCATTATGCAAATATTTCCATATAGTGTGGTAGATATGTGGGGGCGTGTTAGAATGAGCCGTTTTAGGGGGGCGCGGCAGAGTCTTAACTTTGATAAAGAATATCTCTTTGGTTTTGAGACTTTAGTCTTTGCAACTTCAGGGATCTTATCTATGCACAATCAGCTTGTAACACTCCAAAGAGAAAGGAAAACTTGAAATCGCATCATATGACCCCTTTAAACATACATTTGATGGCATGTTTATTAACAATGTTAGTTTAGTTTATCAGTATTTTAGTTTTAGTTTATTAGTAAACATATCTAGTTTGACTATTCTGAAGAAATGACTTTTAAATAAATGATCTTGAGAGCATTTACTCTTTTTGCTTTTTTCTCAACAAGAGTAGAAAATAGAGAGACAGAGACGCTGAGAAATATTCTGAAGCTTCATGTATTCAGCTGCAACATTTCAAATATATGACACAAAAACTGACTTTCTGAAGCAGCTGATATTTAAATTTCTACTCTGGTTTCGAAGTTCGCAGCTTTAAATTATTCAAGCAAATAAGGGTGGAAAATAAAAATGTGTTAAGAAATATAGTCTGGCCGCCCACACAGTCATGTTATAAAGGTGTATCTAGTAAAGAGTCAAGTCAAGAGTTTATTTTGTCATACAGGCTGCTGTATGAATGTCTTTGATTATGATGTCAATGTACCCTTGCATTCATGGCAGTGCCTTAAAGACAACTGTTGTGTAGGTCATCGCATCAACTGCTGGACCTGAAAGAACATGTTAAAAGAAAATGTTAGTGATATCAAGCTTTGTACAATATGTTCTTTAACTTCTTTAAAGGTTAAACCTCTTTAACCTCTTAAGACCCGAGAA